CAGTCAAAAGATGAATGAGTAGGAACTCCCAAACCCAATATATTTAGAACAAACCTTTCCTACAGGACTGGTCTGTCAATTTTGAGCCTTAAGCTATTCAGTATAGTCCCTTTAAAACCACTATTCTTTGTACTTAATATTAATCCCAGATTATAAAATGAAACATACATCTTTCCAATAGCCTGTTCAAAATCCTTAGTTCCACTGGAAGTATTTCGCATAACGTGCTCTAGAGCTACACCACAATGGAAAACAGAGCTGTAAGCCATATTGCTAGACAAGCCGATGAGCCTGTGTGATGGGGCTGGGAATAGAAACAGCATTAGTACACCTTGGGAATGGATGTAAAAGCCATGTCAGCTGTGTAAGTAGGGACTGATTGTCCTTCCTACGCCATGACACACACTGCATTTAATGTGCCTATTTCTCTTGAGCCTCGTGAGCTGGTCCCAAATTTAGGACATCTAAAGGATTAATCAAGCTTATACCCAGGACATGTCAGACAGAACATTTCTATATGCTTATGTGGTGAGAACAACTCCATCAGAACCACCTTGTATAGAGAAGAGTCCGTGCCCTTCCAAGAAACCAAGGGAAACAGTCAGATGCTTGTGTATTTGTATGATCAGAACACACTAAGTATATCCCAAATTTTCAAAATCATGGGATTGGTTTAAAAGGTATGACACTTAAGAAAATAACAACATAGGATTGGTTTTCTGCCTCATGATTTTCCAAATCTTTGCTTCTTCATCTTTGACCCACCATCTTAGAACCAGGAAATCTGTTTTATTTAAAAAAAAAAAAATCACATGATCCAGGAAAACTAGAGAAATCCCTGCCAAATATTGTACATTGACAACTCCACAAAAGCTTTTGTTTTGGGTCTTCTGCTCCAGAGCAGTTTCAGTTTTGCTTTTCATATGTTTATCCAGCACATTCAATATGAAATGAATCCTATACCCTTTCTTCTAAATATGTATATTGTCCTCAACCAGGGGAAATTGGAATATAGGACGTTTGATAGAAATTCAAGTATCAACTGATTAGACTCAATTTACTACATTCATCAAGTGCAATCTTAGTTTTCAGCTGTAAACCCAATCCTGTTGGTATCCAGCAGTAGTTTCACAGGTATATGCTCTGCATTAAAAATACATATACTTGCATACATCCATATGTCCAGGGTTTCAGTACACTGGACCCAATTCTGCCTTGAATTGGTCTCCACTGACTTCAACAGAATTTCCTAGGAATATACATAGAGTAGGCAAAACTAGATCCATCACTGCTGCATAGCCTACTTCCTTTTCATTCCTTTAATTTATTTTCCTCCCATTTGGCCCCATTCTTAAAGTCTTTGGCAGGTTAAGAGTCAGGCAAATTATTTGGAAACAACTTGTACTTACTGATCCTCATTCACTGTATAAATTACACAATGCAGTCGTGTGAGGCAAAAGAAGGATTTTGCTAATATCTTACTTAAATACTAATTAACAAGTAAGTTCTAAAGATACAGGCACCTTTATCCTTGTGTGCTTCCAAAACATTTTAAAACTTTGATGGAGCACACAATCTTCTATTCCCTTCTGAGCAACTAATATTCATTTAAATACCACATTGCTTTTCTTTTCTTTCCACTTCGTGTCTGCCGTTTGCAAATTGATCCTTATGATCTACAAATTCAAGGCAGTTATACCTTGAAATTCATTGGAATGCTGCCAGACCTATTATTTGCAGGACTTTCTAGCTGCATAAATAACATGTCAACTAACTGAATATAGCAGGCACACAAAGCAACATAGAAAGCCACCTGTAATTAAGAGGTATAAAAAGAGCTCTGCTATCTTGTTAGTGAAAAATGATAGGTACAACTGCAATTTCAAATAATTCACCCAGCAAAGAGCAGAAGTGCATAAATACACACAAAAGCCAGCACATTAGTTCTCAGTATAGACCTAATTAGTCGGACCAATGAATTACAATAGATTAGTTTATGTCTCACAACAACTACTGTATTTTTCTTCATACTTAGCAAATTTAGTCTTTTTGCAGATCTTTTGCTTACACAGGTGAAAATTACTTGAATCCGACACTGTTTCCTATTTCCCTAGTGATCTTTGGCTTTTGTTTTGCACCTAACAGAAAGGTACGCTCCTCTGCCACCTAGTGCTTTTAAGAAGTATCTTCTGTATCCGCTACCAGCTCTTGCTGGCATAGTGTGTTCAACAGAATAGATGAGGACTGTGCAGAAACCTTTTATTAAAATTTCCTTGCTAAATGGGAGATTAAAGAGAATCTTGGTTTATCAACCTCTATGGATATCGTAATTGATCACTGCCAGAGATCACCTCTATCTCTGCAGATCTTGGTATGATACAAAATCATTTAGCAACTCGCATGCTTGTATTTTAGGACACTACATCATCTTCCTGGTTCTTTCTAAAATGTAAAGTAAAATAATTTTAACCTAAAATACTTATAGAAGAAAAACATAATCAAATATAACATGTATTTAATCATACAAAATTTTCAAACAAAAAAGAATGTCTTTTTTCAACTACTAACAGGTTCCCAATGTAGCAAAGTGAAATTCCCCTGAGGCATATAACTTTTGTTTTTAAATGAATTCTGGGGTAACATTTGTAACAACCAGCTTGCTTTTTGTTTGTTTTAATTTACATTGTTTCAAAAAGCATATGTTTATATATTAGCACTATTGCAATTTATATTTCCTTCAAAATTACATGCAAACAGGGTTTATTTCAAGTAACAGACTATGCTACATGTTTTAGAGGAATTCATGAATTGTTTTTTTAATTTTTATTTTTTTTAAAAGTAATGGAGCTTCGTATTGTCAGTGTTAATAAAACGAAGCTATGAAAGTGAGCTTTCCTTTACTCTTCTTTTGAAGGAAAAGTCATTCAAACTAAACTGTTCTGACTCTCACTGAAGATAATTTCTTTCTCGGAAAATTAATTGGTGCTATATCAATTGCATATACGAATCTTCGATATTTGTCAGTTGTTTCTAATTTTTCTTTTAAAGACCATGAATACCAGATATTTTAATGACTTTTTCCCCCCACATTACTCAGAAACCTCTATGAAACATTATCAAGCATCTCCTCTTGTCTGTATTGCACAAATGCAGTACTAACATAAGCAGTATGGCTGTGAAATGAATCATTACCTAACTGTGACGTGGCAAATACCTTAAAATGTCTAGTGTTGACACAGCCTAACTTCACTCATGTTTCATAACTCTATTTGTAAAGCATCTTCATTGCTTCACTGATACTATAATTCAATAAACTAATGCACTATGCTGCCAATTATAATTATTACTCCATTAGCAGAAACCACATCCTCTCTCATGTTTAGAGAAAAAGTCTTTTTTTTTTTTTTAAAAAATACCTCTGTGTTTCTGAGAAATTAACCGATGACTCTCAAAACCCCAGGCTAGTTTAGCTTATTTCTCCACAGAACCTTGGCCAAAAATATAAATAAAAAGCAGCTAAGATAGTAAGGTGTAATTGGTCCTATAACGTGGACAAAGAAACAAAAAACCCCACCTCTCCCTAAAATACATACACACCTTTCCCTCCGGACAATATATCTGTCTAACTGCTTGGCTAATCTCACCTCCAACGTGTCAGTCTCATCCCATGCAGCTCTGTCAAAAGCCTTCCACTCTGCATCATGCTTGCCACCTTTTATTGGCTTCAGTTCTGAACAAGTGAAAAATGGATACGACTGGAATAAATCCTGTTTGGACAAATCAAAAAGAACTTCTGTTGTTTGCTTGGATACTGTCAACTAAATGGCATCAATTTACACTTATTCGCTTTCATTATTCCCTTAGACTATGGAGGAAATGTAACATCTCCGCTAACATCTGTTCCTACCACTTATGTTTCAGAACATGGAATCCAGAGCGAGGAAAGCAGAAGTGAAGCGTTACAGCACACACGAACCCACTCCTTAAGCAGGCATAATTAGCTCAGCCACGTACAAAAGAAGGCTCTTCTGGAAAGCGTGGCCCTGTGTCCTCCACTTCCATATTCCTACTGTCCACGTTGCCACTTTTCTGACCCTGACACGAGCCAAGCTACAGGGAGGTACCCACGAAAAACCAAGCTGTAGAAAGCCAGGGAACAGTTCTCTGTCAGCATAGCTCCCTAAACCAGGACAGCACCAGAGCAGATACACTGAAGTGCCAAGGAAACACAGGGGCAACCTAGCCAGGGTTAGGGGCAGGCCTGCATTTTTTGGCAGCAAATAGCTATTAGACTGGCTGAGCCGTAATATCAAACAGTACCATTTGTATATTGAAATCCCAACCTAAAATTGATAACAGGCTTAATCTTAAATGCAACGGCGCTACTGTGTGGCTAAAACCGAAGTGAAAATCCACAGCTAGGTGCCCTAACTGCACCACTGAAGAGTACCAACGGGCAGTAGGGGGCAGAGCTACTGCCTCTCTGCAGAAGACTCAAGACAGGAAGGCACCGCTGTTCTTTGTGGTTTTCCAAGCACACTGACCACCCAGACTACTTAATGGCAATGGCTCCAAAGAATCAGCTTTGACCCTTGTCAAATTTACAGATTTCCAGTCATTACATTTCAATTTGTTACTTCCCCTCAAAGTGCACTTGATTTCTTGAGTGGAGGAAAAAGGCTTTCCACGTGCCTTTAAGACAGAAGATTATTTTGTATACTGACAACAGCAAGAACCACTGAACCTTCAGTCCGGTACAGAAAAAGTGCAAATACTACAGCCACCATTTTGCTCAAAAACAGGAATATCACCAAGTATCTCAAACAGCAGCACTGTGGAGAGATCCAGACAGATTCTGTTAAGAGCCATGGAAATAACCAGTAACTGTATCTTTCCTTGTAAATATCCTTTGTATCCAATCAACACTGGTTTTGAACTTTTTTTTTCCCTTTTTTTTTTCCCCCTCCAAAAGAGCAGCAGCCAAAAACAGAAGGCAGATTTCCCTGGGAAACTTAACATACTTTATTTTACATCTGTGAACGTTTTCCCTTTGTTAAAAAAATGTTACCTACAAAACCAGCATAGAACATTAGCATACAAATTATTCAGTGTACTGTACGCAGATGGCCAAACCCAAGGTAGATTCTGATTTATCTTTAATTGTTGACTGCTATGATGTATCACTGAGAAGCATTTCCTGCTGCATGCTACAGAAACAACACCTGACTGCAAAATCATATGGCGTGACATGCAAGTCAAGCAGGCTTCCCAAAAGTTCATAGCTTTTCTGTATCAACGTTGAGTGAACAAAATGAGGAAAACATTCTTGAAAATCATGATCTTTCTTGCTGTAGCAACTGTTTTTGTTAGCATTAGTTCTCTAGCATCAATTTTGAACAAACCAAGATGGACGCTTCCTGGCTCTTTCAATGATCCGCTTGCCTTCATCTTTTTCTGTGGGCTTTTCTCCATCATAAAGTACGACAGTCTCTACAGTTGGAGCATTAAATGGTCCTCCTTCCTTTTTATGTATTTCCATCCGTATCAGTCGAGTTTCTGCTTTAACCTTTGCATAACAATAGCCACAAAGGACGTGTTTCTGTTTCAAGTTTCCACACTCGGGACAAACATCTATGTTCCTCTAAAAAAGACAGTGGAAAATATGAAATTTTGTAATTTGAACAACACCAACAAAAGAAACGGGGAACAATCACAAACTACTACAAATGTTAAATGAAATACAGAGAAATTCAATTGCCTTTTCAAAATTTATTCTTCTGTGTAGAGTAATTTTTCTGTAATGTATTGCTATGTCCAATGCTTACTACTAAAAATAGCCTGTGAAGTCAATACCTAAATCATTCTGCCTACTGATGTTTGGAAGACTAAAGACCTATTAACTCAACTAGATGCACAGGAAGTATAGCCTTTTCCCTTTATACTAGCTGTTTAGCTAAAATTCGTATTTTGTTGGCTTGCACCTCAACTGTCACTGTTTGTTTAACCACAGACTACTGTCACACACGATGAATGTACCTGTAACAAAGTATTTTGAAGATTACAATGTCTTTTAAGCTTATTTTTAAACAAATTCCAGAAAGCTTTTTCAGTCAGTATTGACCACTATAATGATTCTCTAAAATAAGTGAGATGAAAAATGATTGCCATAAATCTTACTCCAACACGCTTGTTTGCCATTAACAAAATTACTTGCAGTGGATAAGGTGGCAAGAAGCCCGTGGAAATTTGGTGATTACCTTTACTTTTATAAGCTTATTGGGATTTCTTCGCCTACAGCGGTTTACTTCAATGGTGCGCCTTTTCTTTGGCGCCGCCATCCACAAGATGCTATCTAACAGGCCTGGTGCCTCATTACTTTCACTAGTGTCGTTTACCGGTTGTGGAAGAAAAGCTGGAGCTTGGACAGCTAGTGCTGGTCCTGAAGGAAAAAGAGAAGATAATTCATTACACCCAGCCCCCATTTTCGCCTGCAGCCGAGGAAATACGACACGAATGCTACTGACACCCCCAAAGCGAGGAGGTAAGAGTGGACAGCGGCGCCTCCCGTCCCGTTCCCTCAGTGTCCCCAGGCCTACGCGCTCTCCTGCTGCAGCCTCCTCCCTCAGTCGTTCGACGGTAAAAATGAGTCCCACAGCCCCGACGCCGCCCTCTCCTTCAGCCGAGAGGAGAATAGGCCGGTACCTACCCCAGGGCAGGCTCTGGCCCCCGGAGAAACCCGGCAAGAGGCCGCGCTCCAGACGCCCCCAGCAGCGCTGAAGAAGACCGCGAAGCCGCGGCAGCGGAGAGAAGACCACCACCAGAGCCGCCATACCCCCACACAGCCCGGCCAAGGCCTCAGAGGAGGGGAAGGCGGTGGCTCGCTCGAGGACGCACTGGGCATGCGCACCTGTCGCTGAGCCTTCTGGGAAACCGAGTGCCCCGAGTACTTCATGGCATGGGAGGGACGGAGACCAAGGACTTCAAGTCCCAGCATTCCTCTCGCTACAGGAGGGTGGGGCGGCCAGAGGGTCGCTGGAGGACTCCAACTCCCAGCATGCCTCACCGCGTGCCTCTTCGCCAATCGCGTCCCTCGCGGGCCCGGCGCTGCTTCCCGGCATGCTCCGCTGTCCTCCACCTCCTTGCCAATCAGCGCGCTAGCTGTGTCCTCGTGCAGGAAGCGGGAGGAGCGACTGCGCAGAGGGAGCTGGTGAGGGGAGTGGAGGGGTTCGTTCCAAAATGGCGGAGCGCGGCTACAGCTTCTCCCTCACTACGTTCAGGTACTCGGAGGGAGAGGGCTGCAGGCCTGGGCTCTCGGCGGGCAGGCCGGCGGGCGAGGGGGGGGGACGGCGCACAGCCTACGGCGGAGCGGTCTTCCGGCGGCGGGG